CAGCTGGGTTTGAGCAACACAAGACCTGGAATATTTATCTTCCATTTAAAATTCAAACTGATATTGAGCTATGGAGGCCTTTGTATTTACATTGTAGCAGCCATCTAGACCAACTAGACCTTTAAACACCTCTGAAACATAATATTTATGACAGACACTTGTTTGTGTCTTTCTTGACCAAACCCTTCAATATTTCTCGGAGGACCTGGTTAGTTTTCAAGCCATTTAGCTATGCTTGTGTATTCTCTCAGAATCCCTCACGTCTTCCTCCTCAAAACTGCCAGACTCACCTGACACTGCTCTGTGTCATTTTTTATGTGTCATGTACTGTGCTCTTCTCTCACCTAATACCAATATCAATCTTAAACACAGGAAACCTTGTAAAAATCAATGAGATTGTTAAAATCTTACAACAATCACTGGACTGCCATTCAGACCCTACTGTATAATCAGCGAATAATCACCAGCACAGTCAAAAGGAAAGATGGACTGCTTGTAAGCTTTTGGCTGTAAACATTTTGGGTAGTTTTTGATAGACTTGATGCTTGAATAGGCCTTTCTTGCTCTGCAAGAAAGCAAAATATCAGAAAGCATGGAGATAAGGCATCAAGAGTGGGAGAGAAAAAAGAAGCATGAAAAACTGTCATAAAGCAAAGAAAATAAAGTTTCATGTGAACAGTTTCACAGAGTAAACAAGAAAGGACTTGACTTCTTGTTGTGGTTTGAGAGGAAGTGAGTTTTTTTGGGATGCTGTGATCAAACCAATACGTGCTCAGATTTGAACATTGGCACCTAGTGTGGCCACTGAGGACATAGATACGCCTCTGAGAACACAGGGGGAGGTTGTGAGGTTTTACACTGTCATTTGTCATTACCTTTACTTAGGTTCTTTATAAAGCCATTGATGGAGCTGCAAGAAAACATAGTAAAGTGCACTGACAGTGTAAGTCAGTTCTACTTCCTGACAGGATAACCTTATGCCTACAGTGAACCTTGGGTAAACGGATACCTGAACACAGGCAATATGAAAGTGATCCTGACAGGAATATACATTCAATGTAATAATCCCTCCTATGCTGTTAAACTTGCTCATTGCCTTCACATCCTGTAGGACTTTCAAACAGCCAAACAGAATTCATATGGACACATCTATGAAATTCTCATTCCATGAATAAAAGGCAAGGCGTTTAAAAAATCTTTTGCAAGCCACAACTAAATATAACAGTCTAAAATATGTGATATCTACCTTCACTCTTTGCAGTTTGTTACATCTTGTAACAAAGCTCTCTTTTTTAAAAGTTCCAGCTGGTACTATCTGCAACTAAGCAACACAAACCACAGAAAGGACAACATGCATCATTTTCTTTTTTTTATTACTATTTATTATATGAATTTCTATTCATAATTGGTAAACAGAACAAGGAAAAATTTTTGCCTTGTGTTCAAAGCTGGACATAAGAATATATCATGTCTATGTCAGATTCTGGTATTTATCCATTGCAAACCTGTGACTACAGTCATCCATAAAAGATACATTCTAGAGTCTAAAAAACTCTTATGGTATATGGGCTGACTGGTAACACAGTAGAGAGACAGATCTCTTCCTGCCTTTATAAAAGGCTAAAAGTTTTAGAACTTAAACTTTCCCTTTTTAAATTTTGCTTCCCTACAAACTAGCTTACTGCTTATTAATTACTGCTGGTCACTGCCATAGGCAAGAATATAAAAATCATAAGGGTATTTGATAAAGATCTGTAAGATGCTTATAAACTACATGACTTGAATCACACAAGCACTTCAACAAACACTTCCCATTTCTTTCCTGTTTCATTATTCTGCTTTCTTCCTTCTTTACTTGTTTACTTGCCCTTTCATCTTTGTTGCTTTTTTTGTCTTTTCTTTAATCTCAATCATAATCCCATACACACATAAGTACAAACAGTGCTCTGTATGGAGATTTAAATTCTTTTCTATTTTCTTTTTCCTTTTTAGATGTCTCATGAGGCTCTGACCGTTCTCTTGTATGTTTCTGCCCGCAGCTTACTCATAAATATTCAAAGCCTTTTCCCACCATTGCTGGCATTTCTTCACTCAAACAAGCACTCCTGAATGACATCTTTCACTTCAAATATCTTCTCTGTCCTTCATATGCCTTGTCTCTCCCTTGGTGCTCCTATTCATACATTGCTACTCTCTTTCCTTACCAATCTCTCTCTACCTGTGTGATCTTTCCCACTCTTCCTCAAACATGCTTAAGAAATATTAATGTGCCTTTGTTGTCCACCACTCTCTTCATATCATTGCTTTTCTTCGTCTTTCTTCCAATGGATACAGTGTAAAGGAAAGAGATAGCTGTATTTATGGCCCTGAACCTTTCAAAATAAATTACCACAGCAGTCCTGGCCGGGAAGACAAATGAAATTCCCATTACAGTAACTTACCTATTTTCACTTCTGTTTCCATTTCTGGACATTGCACTAATGGCAGACTGTACAAAATAGACCAGCAAACATAGAGCTAGTGTTTGCTGAGGGACAATAGGGACAGTATAAAGTTAGTGTTTCCTTCATACAGTTACAGTGATGAATTCACAGTAATAAAAGGAAAGAAATTACTGAATTACTTTTGCTAGAAGTGAAAAAGTTTACTAGATTTCATAATACAATCCACTTCCCTAAGATTAGAGAGGTTAACTAGAATAATCTTGCCTATCAAACCTACATATGGAAGAGATTCCACACTTTCACTAGGTAGGTATCTTGTTCCAAATGCTAAATTTGGGACATTATTATTTGAGTCTATATAAAAACATATATATTTCAGTATATAAACCATAACACTTTAGAAAGTTTTGTCCAACATTGAATCTGAAATTTATGAATAATTTAGATGATTGGGGTTTTTTTTTTCCCCAGAAAGAATATTTTTGTCCTTTTCACAGTGACACTTACCACATAAAGAGATCATTTACTTCTATCTTCTTAAACAAGTGTTCTTCCAACTTCTATACCCATCTGTACTTTCTACATGTCCTACTATTTGGTAATTTTCCTCAGGACTGTCTTCAGTTTGAGACCAAACACAGTTGGCTTCATCAACCCCTTGCAGAAAGGTAATTTGTCCTGTCAGATGTACTGCACACCTATTAATACACTCCACAGTGACGCTGTCTTTTTTCTTTAATGGTAACACATTGCTGACTCATATTTACATTACAGCCCCCAGATTATTTTCTGAAGTGCTGTTATTTTACCAGTATCCTTTTGATTTTACTTTTTAATTTTTCTTCCCAAATATAATTTGCATGCGTCAGTATCACGTTTTCTCCTGCTTCTTCCAAGACATTTCTTCAACTTGTGCTTAATTATTCATTTCTTTAATTTGACTTCCTATATTTGTCACCAAAGTGCCAACAGGTCCATTTAGCTTGCTGACAGCTCTGTATTTCATAATTTCATCATTGAGATCACTAAGGATCAGAAGAACAGAAAACGCCTTAATATGAAAAAAGTGTATCACATAAGGAATTCTGCTTAAACAGGATTACTTTGATTAGGCAGATCATGATTTCTTCACGTAACTGCCTTACTCTTAATATACGGAATGGTGGACAACCTAATACAGTCCTGCATTCTGCTACCAGGTGCAGTCAAAATTGCATACATGTAGTCTGCATGTGTTTTAGTTTCAGCCATTGGGCTCAACTATCAGATTATGGAAATTTCACATCGGGTACGTCTTCTTCTTCCTGTTTGTCCCATATAATGACCAAGATCTTGGCATATTTTTTGATAACCAAACAGAAAAAATAAGATTCCAATTTTAATTTTTTTTTCTTGTCAGTAAACTTGGGAATTTTGGAGTTTTTTTCCCCCTCCCCTTTTCCCCCCCCAAAATGCATTATTGCAATATCATGTCCACTGCTTATGAATCATCTCACTTTCCTTATACTGGATGACATATCAAAGGGCCGCATAAAAAATTCCCGTTTACTATTAAATCACTGCACGAGTAGTTCATCTGCCGTAATCGTAAGGCATTTTGAATATGATAATATCCAGCATGAAGTTAAGCCTGTGCTATAGTATTTCACACGCTGATTTCCCTTAAGTGTAAGGCCGTGTTTTCGGACGCATTAAGCAGGATTTCATCACCCAAGCAGCACCGCGGGGAGGGGAGCGCAGCGTTCCCGGGCACGGGCACCGCGGGTGGCTCGGGGCGCTCGCTCCGCGCCAGGCGCCTCCCGTGAAGAGGGCGGGGAGGCTTCGGCACTCGTTCGGCTCCTGGGGACGGGACCGAGGGGAAAGGCCGCGGGCTGCTCCCGGGCCGCCGGTCCCCAGCAGCCGCCCACCGAGGCTCCGGGCCGCGGCCCGCCGAGCGCGGCCGGGCGGCGCTGGCGCGCCGGGGCCGCCTGGTGGGGCCGTCGCCTCTAGGCCGCCTACGGGGCGGGGCCATGAAGGTTTCGCCTGAACATTCTGGAGTGGAGGGGAGCGGCGGGGGGCGAGGCGAGCCAGGGCAGGGCAGCGAGCCGAGCCGAGCCGGGCCGGGCCACGCCGGGCCACGGCACAGAGCCGAGCCGAGCCGAGCGGAGCAGGCCCGCCTTCCCCGGGAGGAGGCGGAGGCTGAAGGGGAGGAGGCAGGAGAGAAGGAGGAGAGGTGGAGGAGGCGGAGGAGGCGGGAGCGGAGGGAGGACACGGGGAGGCGGCTGCTGCTGCTGGGCAGAGAGGAGTCGTGCAGGAGCAGCGACTGTACTCGGACGCCACATTCCCTCTGTACGGGGCTGGTGGTGAGGATGAGCGAGAGCTGACCCTGCCGCGCCGCCGCCTGTGCTGTGAAGTGTCTGCTCCTCCTCCTCCTTCTCTTCCTCCTCCTCCCCGGCTGTGGGTGAACCTGCGCTACGGGCTCTTCACCGACACGGGGGAGGCTGGTTTGTTTTGTGCATTTGTTTAAGGCAAAGAGAGAGAAAGAGAGGTCTTCCACCCGCTGAAGCACAGTTCACTATGATCGTACTCGCATCCAGCACTGGAAGCCGGGTGGATTTCGTTTCTCAATCCAGGGTGTTTTTCTTGCAAACCTTCATTTGGATTTTATGTGCTACAGTGTGCAAAGCGGAGCAGTATTTCAATGTGGAGGTAAGATCAGCCGGATGCGTGTGCAAGCGTGTGTGCTTCCCCCTCTCCCTTTCCTCCTTTCCCTTTTTTTTATGTCCCTCAAATCAAATCAAATCAAATAGCCAGCCAGCCATGTCTTCCAGCAGCCAGGGCATACGTCTGTGCAGGCTTTCCTTCCAGCAGCCGGTAGCTAGCTCCCCTCCCCGCGCTGCCCCGCCTGATGGATGCGTTTCAGCCGGAGATCCCGTTATCCCGGCAGCGCGATGCCGGGCGCTGGAGCGCAGCCCGCGGGAGACGGGAAACCCTCGCCCGGGCACGGAAGAAACCTGGGGCGCAGAATGTACATGCAGCTCAGGAAAGGTTCGCTGAATGTCTCGGACTTAAGATACCACTGTATTGCTGAGTTTTCTCTGCCTTTTTTGGTTTGGTTTATTTTGGTTTTTTTTCGAAGAAGAATGAATGAAAGAGCGTTATGGGGACAGGAGGAAGGAAACTTGAGATTTTTGGCACGTTTGTGGTAAAGTATCGGAAAAAAATAAGAGCTTTTTCCCATGTAGACATGAGAAAAATAGTTGCCACTAGAAATAGTGAAACAAATGGCATAAAGGTGCAACTACAGCTCGGAAGTTAGGGGCTGTGGAGGACAAGGAAACAGCATTTTTTCTGAGAGCAAATGAAGATGAAAATGTGGGTATACCAAGATGGGGCAAACCCTAAGAGTTTACACTTACAGTGACCACCCATTTCCAGTCACCCTTGTCTACACACCCAGTTTTCCCATTAGGAGTTTTTACATAGTGCTTTCACTTAAGTAATGTTTCTTTACTGACTTTTATCATCTTTGCATATGTTCTTTCCTCCTTTTTCTCTATCCTGTCACTCCATTTGTTCTGCTATGATCCCTTACTCTACTGCAATGTGATATGTCTATTTCCTTCTTTTCCTTGTCAATTCAACTTATTGATTTTTCTTGCTATGTCTCTGTAATTTATATGTGTTCTTTCAGATTCTTATATGTAATTCTGGTATTCTGTTAGGTCACTCTGTACCTTCACTTTCTTCTGTCCTGCCAACCCCACTCAAAACTTTCTGCTGCGCCCAGACCAGCCTTTTTTATTTTATAGTCTCTTTAGTCTCCTGGGTTCCCATGATTCTTCCTCCCAGAAAAATGAAGTCTGCGTCCCTGTCTCACACATATGCACACTTGCTTATTTTATATCAGCTCTTGTTCTCACTCAGTGACACACATTCTTGCTCCTTTCTCTGACAAGATTGCTCATGCAGATCCTCCTCTGTTACTAGACTGTTTATCTAAAGTTCTTACCTGTATGTCTTCTCCCTCTGTTTCATGCAAGATCACATCAAGTGTATAAAGAACCCACATTTTCTTTCTCTGTTTTCATCCTACCCTTTCCTTCTCTACAGGCAGTTGCCTGTGCAATTGTCTCAGCTTAACTGCACTCATTCTTTGATTCTTTCTTTGACTCCCATCTCTCCAGAAAGTATTGTCTTTTTACTCAATCATTAAAATCTTTCCTGATTATAAATCCGAGTCTTTTTTCTCTGTCATCTGTGCTCTCGTCACTCATTTGATCCTTATGACAAATGTGCATCTCTGCTTCTGTTGGATTGTAAGGTCTTTGGAGCAGGACTCATGTCTTCTCACATGTTTATCTGGTGTGTACCATGCTCGAGTCTGGAGTACAACTGTGAGACTTCTGCTATATGAATATTAAAACTGCATATTTAAGAGCACACATTGGTGTTTTATCCTTCTGCTCATGTCCTCAGCTGCCTTCTTTACTGATGAGCAGGGGAAGGAGCGTGGAAGAGAGGAAGTTGCTCTCTGTATCCTCCCTATGCTTCACAGGCTGGCCCCCTGCAGAGTATAGGGATGAAATTCCAGCGACAGAACTTTCTCCTCCCACAGCAGTCTGCTTTGCTGGCATCTGGCTCTCCTGGAGAGACGGGCGGCAGATGGAGCTAGTGTGGGAAGAGAAAAAGATTGGTTTAGTCAAGTGGAATATGAACAGGAGGCCAGCTCCAGTCAGGAGGAGGTTTTCTGAGGAAAGAAGGGAAACACTTTCATTTTTGCCACCTCTTCCATGTGGAAAACAGCAAATTTTGAGGGTAAAGGCAATATCAGGAGCAAGAAACAGTGTTGGATAGAATGAAGTGGCATGTATGTGTGATGAGGGCACATATTTCTCCTTTTTGAAGTATCTTCTGCTCTTCTTTCCAGCCCTGCTGAAAACAAAGTGTGTTATCATATACCAGTGCTTCCAGTCTTTTCACATTTAAGTCTGAGCCACACATTGCTGGGAGCCAGAAGAGTGTTCCAGGGGATTGCTGTATTATTTGAGAGTTGTCCTAATATGGGGCTTTTTCCTAGGTAACTGCCTTTGACCACTGCTAGTGACATGGTCCTGGCCTAAATGAACTTCACATTTGCCCCAGAACAGCCATTGCTGTGTTCACATTGTTTGGATAGTGCTGAAAATTCAATTTTCTTTTTGCTGGGAGCAGCAAAGGCTAAAAGCATGGGAAATTTGAGGCAAAGGACTTGGCAACAGCAAGTATGTATTGTGCTGTAAAACTCTGCATGTCAGCACAAGTGCATACAGCAGTTGTACTCAGAGTAAATTGTGAAAATGTAACAAAGATTTTGTATGACAATAAGAATAAATATGCAAAGTAGGCTTCAGGAAAGAAGTAGTGTACATACAGTTGAATGAATTGTCACTGGAAAAAATTGCTTAGGATGGTTCAAAAACAGATTTACTTTTCATTCTTTCTTGTCTTTAAATAAAATACAGATAATACCCGTTGAACATTATAAAATATGGAGATTATTTATTTCCTCTTGTTCTGTCTTGTTTAATCCACTTTCCTGATTGATAAGTAAAATCTGTTCAGTCTTGTTGAATTTTTTGGTTTGTTTGTTTCAGTGATGTGAGCCAGGTCAGTTCTTAAGAGATACTACTGTAGCTCAAAGACATTAAATAATAATGTTTCCTTTTAAAAGTAACACACAATGCTGAAATTTACAAGCTTGTATGAACATTTCTGTTCCTTGTAATTTGGTTGTCTCTCCGTAAAATTTCTTTTAGCCAAAGAACTGAATGGAGGAATTCCTCAAGCTTCCAATGATAGCTGAATTCAGCTGTCTATCCTGAAATGTATTCATGTATACAGTATTTCATGTAATAGCCACAGCAGAATAGGTTGCAGATCATGGAGTAGGGTACATGAGAGGGGCACGCTTGCACTTTGTATTGATGAGAGTTTTATGCTAAAGCTCCATGAGAAATGTTTATAACTCATAGGTTAAGAAATCATGATGAAATTTAGGAATCACTTACTCATATATAAAAGAAGATCTTAACATTAATTTTCAAAGTTCATTGATTATCAGTAGCATTTTTGTGAGACTTTGTTTCTGACAAAGACTAAGGACTACACTCTTAGCTCCCTCTTTTAGAACTGAACTATGGGTACAAAACAGTAACTTCATCAAGTATAATTATGAAAGACTATGTCATCAATGTTGAGTTTTGCTGCTATTTTCAACTATTTCTGTACACTAGTAGGGGAAGACGTCCATCAATGAATGGAATTGAATGGAATAGCAGTTACAAAAAGAGCATTCCAAATATAAGACTGAATCAAACACATAGAGGCTAATTGTTACTAAAAAGTGATAGAGCAACAAAATACCTTCTTCCTCCTACTAGGCTCCTCACTATAGTAATAAAATTTTGTGTGGCTCAAATATAGCTCCTTTTTGTGTTACTGGGAGTGACTATAGATGGTCTTTCACAAGTGTCTATATATGCATCTAGTGTGTATACATATATATATTTGCTTTCCTAAACCAAACAATATTGCACTGTTTGAGCTGTATTGTTCTGCAAATTTTTCTCCTAATGTCATCCATTAGCTTTTGTATGTACTTGAATAATAAGTAGGTTTATATTTAATTAACTATTAAATATAAAAAATGAAAACAAATGTTACCTTTTTGGTTTGGGAAAAATGGTTATTGAAACAAAAATATCTTGATCAGAAGACAGATCAGCATGCATCTAGAATAGGATTGATCTCTGGAACATAAAGCTGCTTACTCTTACTTAGATGAGTATCTGCCTAAGCCCTGTTGAGGAAAGTGTTTTCAGAATTACACCTAGTTTCATTGACTGTATCTGTAATGTGGGAAACACTACAGAGAAAGCATGCCTCATCATCTCTCTCCTCAAGCTGGCAGTTATGCTGTTTTTCTCCTTCAATTGCTAAATGTATAGACTTGAATCCCTAGGGGAGGTCTTAAAATTACTCTTATTTTAGTGTGAGCAGATCTTTAAAACAATACAGTCATTTCCCATTTTCAAAAGTGGGGTAGTTAAATTGCATGTTGTGGAACAAAACACAGTGGAATCCAAACTTCAGAAAAATAACATCAGTTTCCTCCATGGTAATAAGTTTCTGAGAACCCCATTGTTTTCATTGTTAATAAACTTCACAATTAGCCTCCAGCTCCTGCTAAATGATAAGGCATGACCTTTTATTCCATAAGCTCTTAGTCTTTTAGGCTTAAAACCAGACCATTTTCATTCTTCAGCTGGCATCTGAAAAGGAATAAACATTTGGGAGGGGAATAAATCCTCCAAAGCACCTTTGCACACTTTTGAACTAGTGGTCTTGGTTGTGAGGTTTATAGGCACAACACAATTCTTTTATAGTTCATTAAAATGCAAGCTAAAAACCATGGATAAGCAATTAATGTGGTTTTGGTATCAATAGTGCCATGTGTCCTAACAGGAATTTAGAGGATCTTCTGCATTGTCTGAAGTTACAGTCAGTATGCATGATTCTCAATTACTTAAATTCGGAATCTCACTCTTGTGTAGGATATCAATGAAATGAACTGGACTTTTGTTAGAACAAGGAGTTCAAACTGAAATTGTTAGAAAGATGGAGAGGAGTTACTGAATTAGGTGATGAAGATGATTAGTGGGCGAAAT